CTAGCTATAGACATACATGTGATACAGCCAATTTCAATCAGACTATTGACAAGAATGTAAACTGGGTACACGTGGGTGCACTTTTATGCTATCACTGGTATTTGGAATAAGGTTCCCTCTGTCTGTTTTGATTAGAAATTATGAAAATTCTGTCCTTCCAAAACAAGCAGAAAAATGGCATTAATTGTAAAAAAAAGCTGTTGTCTTGTTATTTCAGGAAGTTTTCTTAACCATTTTTAAGTAACTAGGCAGAATGAAGAATAAAGGATATTGCTGATTGCACATCATTGTTGTTGTACTCTATTATGTTCAGTTTTTTATTTTTTTGAGCTGAAAGTTATGACAGTATATCTGTAGTGTCCTTTAAAGTGATGGAATTTCTGGAAGAGCGATGTTTTTGCTTCTTCAAGTTCTCTTTAGGAAGTAATGACAATAAAAATCTTTTCCTTGTCCCCAGAAACCAAGTGACTCATTTATCCAGCTGGGTACAATATGAATTGTGTCTGAGAAACAGGGACTGGAATGCAAAGAGTTTGGTGTTATTTGTAATGTGGTTGGAAAGCTGTTCATATAAAACAGCAGCAGAAGTTTCTTTTAAATCCATGGAGTTCCCTACATCAGCTTGCAGAGACACTTTCCATCTGGGAAGAAGATGTTACATAGGGGAAAATTCTGAATTTTTTACTGCTATAGATAGTGAATTGTGTCAGCAAGGAGCTCATGTTTCTATATGGTATAAGAACTATTACTAAGTCCAATCAGTTTTAAAGGCTTAAGCACTGGGAGAAGGCCCTTATCCATGTGCATCTCTTCTTTTGTGCTGCCTTAAATAAGTGCCAGGTGGAACACTGGCATTTTGTTATCAGGTGAATTGTCCAGGAAGTTTCCTCCATCCTTCCTCTAGGTCCTTAAAGTATTGCTAACTCGAGTTGACACAGTGTCATTTCTGTCACTGCTTTCCACCATTCACATACTGGTTTGCGCTTTATTATGGTGAGCTCTTCTTACTTTGTACAGGACAGGTATTTGAAAAGGAGGCAGTCCTTCCCCAGCCCCCAAAAAGATGCTGTTTGCACTGAGCCACGCAGCCGGTGCTGCCAGCGCTGGGACTGACGGGGCCATCCCTTTCACAGCCTGCAAGCCTTAAGCATGTTTGAGTGGGGGTGGAGGTGCCACTGGAAGTGTCACCTGCAGAAACAACTGTATAGCATGTATGAACTGTGGATCCCCATGTCACCTGTTGGAAACCACTGGTCTGTATTTTCTGGTCTGAGTGTATTTACTTTAGAGTTTACCTAAAGAAAACCTAGCAGAGTTATTGAATTAAGAGAGACCTGCTTTCAAGCATCTTTCTTTAGCTCATCTGTTTGTGTGATTTAAAATGTGATTAATTTACAATTGTTTCTTAGTGTCTGAATACCTTTTTCAGTAACCTGGAGGAGAACTGGATATTTGTGTTCTGAAAATGATCATTACTGCTAAAGTACTTCCAAAAATACCATGCTGACGTTTCTTCGTATGCTAACTCTTAAAAACTCATTCACAAACTATGTCTCTGATGCAAAAGCTCTTCTCCCCGCTTAGCACTCCCCACATAATTACGGTCTTGTCCCTGCACCAGGCTTCCTTGCATGAGTTCTCCTGGTGGCCCAGGCTAAATAATTCATGGCCCTAATTCTTATAGGCTCCCCACATTTTACTCCTTTTTGTTTCTCTGCCACAGCCTTCTTTTTCTGTCTACATTACAGGGATCCTGCTAGGCTGAATATGTTTGAGTGTCCCCTCCTTGGCTTTCTCCCAGGCTCTGTCATGCTGCCACTAAACCCAGAAATTCTTGCCTAACATTTGCCTGTACTGAGAATGACATCTTCCCTTTCCTCTAGGAAAAGCCTTTAATGCTTTTCCTAGAAATTCATGTGGAGGTTTTGGAACAGTGACTGGGAGAGAGGATGGGTTTGGATGCCCCAGGTGCTGTAGCTGGTGGTGCAGGCAAGGCAACAGGGGAGCGGGTCACGCAGGAAGCATTTCATGTGTGCTCGCTTGTTTTGGTGAGCCTCACGTCGGGCCATATCTCTTATCACTTTGCCGACTTGCTTTGTGCCGCTGTTAGCCTTTGTCACACATTCCCGCTCTCGTGGCTGTCTGGTGCCTCTGTGTTTTCCTGTTTGCTTTCAGGCAGATTTCGAAAGGGCCGTTTTGTCAGTGCATGATGAAGTTAAGTCCTTGAGCTGTCTTTCGGGCAGTCCTCCCATGTGGGGCAGAGATTTGCCTCACACAATAGCAGAATAAAGATTGCAGCAGCTTGTCTTCAGGCTGTAAATTAACTTCATGGACCAGGTCATGCTGCGCTTTGAAGTTGTTGCTTTTTTATTTGTGTGCTTCCCCCATTTAGTTTTCAAGAATATAAATCTTTAGGAAGAATTATCAGAGTTTAAAAGGCTTAGACAAATAACAGCTGTTATTGGTTCGTGGTCTCCAATTGGTTCCAGACTTCCCTGGTTTTGATAAGACTATAAGACAATCCCAGAAATTCCCTGCCTACAGCTTTTGCTAATACCATTAAATGTAACATCATGATTACCAATGCTTTTGGAGCTGATTAGCTAGCATCCTGTGTGACTGATAAACACTGTAATTTAATTATTTCTTCAGAATGTCCTCATGTTGTACCCCACTCCCCCTTCTCATATTATCTTTATTTTAAAATACAATTTAGTACAAATATTTAATGGGGATCTTGAAGAAGGCCTCAGAAAAACAAGGATGCTGGTGCTCAGCTTGTGCTCAGTGGGGAAAGGATGCTCCACTTCAGCATTGACCAGAACAAGCCTTGCTCTGGTCCTGAGCTGTTCAAAGTTGGCCTGGTTCTGTACCCATGGAGGTGTCATCCCAAAGGGAAAGGCTTCACCTGAGCTTCTAGCTTTTGGTTTTGTGAAAAGCTGAGAACCATGTTTCCATTCTAATTGGGTGTCAACACAGACAAAGAGCTCATCACAGAACCTCCTGTTGGAGTCATCCCATGCATAAAGTACTGGCAAGCAGAAAAATCCTCTGTGAGAAGTGTCTGAGAACACAAAGAAAGCAAAATAAAAGGCAATGATCAAATAAACAAAAGAAAAAAAAATTATTCTTTCTGGGGTGCAAAGGATGCATGTTTTGAATGTCTGTGGTGAGAGATTAGATGAGGCATCTTTGTTATGTGTATGTCTGTGTCCTTTTTTTCTGGGCTTCTGGGAATTGTTCTCATGATAAGCTTCTGTAAATTCTATCTTTGCTTTTAATAGTCATACTGTGAAAGATCTTTTTTTAGTGTATTTTACTTCATAATTTCACATTCACAGATGTACAAAATAGTATATTGTCTTCCCTTTCTTCACCTTACTTGCCAAATAAGATTACCTCTTACTTCCAAAAGTATAGCCATAACTGATGCCAATGTGTGTGAGCACATGTGTAAGGAAGCCAGAGTAGGTAAGGTCTCTATCAGTTGTGCAAGCCTTAGCACCATTTTGTTAACAGAGCCTTGTTTGCCCTTTCATTGCTCACTTCTTCATTGTTGAAAGTAAGAGGCAGGACACTTGTTTAATTCTTGTGATATTTGGTAGCCTTGTAGGGAAACTGAACTGATTTTTCTTCTAGCTGAGCCTACAGGTCACACCTTACCTGAGATTTTTATTATATTTATCAGCTTGTTTTCTAAGTCACAAAGGTGCTTGTTCCAACCTTGGCTAATCTCAGTGTAAGGTGATAATGTCCTGTGCGCACAGGATCTGGCAGGGCGTGCCAGTGGAAGGTATGAAGTCAATGCACGTTAGAGAAAACATGATGAACTTTCTCTGCAGCTCTAAACCACCTGTTGAACAACCAACATGCAGTGATTGGAGCTGACATTGGAAGATTGGCATTATCAGGGGATTTTGACTGTCTTCAGTACATGAACTTAGTGTGCATTAACCTAATGGACCTGCCTTTCTGCATTAGCATGTGTGAATGTGTCTGCTCTATTAAACCCAGCTGCCTTTTTATTTGTACTGTTTATCGGTATTAATGTGTATTGTACACTGTGTGACAGATTTTAGCTGCAACTACCAATCTGTAAATTGCGGAAATGAAAAGCAAAATTTGACTTTTGCAGTGCATAAGAATACGTGTTTTTGTAGATGGGCATGTATCTACACAAATACTTAACATAAAATCTGTCACCTGAGCCTTGATTCAGGACTTTGTCTAGTAAATATCTGAGTCTCTTCATTTTTCTAATTTTACATTGAAACTGGATTAAGATGTCTGTCACATATGCATGTACCTGTGTTAGATATGTTTAAAAATTGCATAAATGATATATATATATACATTATTGCTTTTGATCCAGTGGTTTGTATTGGGCACATGTAGATTATTTTTACAGTTTGCCTGAGCATAAGTATGTCTAAACCTCTTAGTCAGAAAAAGAACCTCACATGCTTGTGTTGCCACTATTGTTTCCTGTCTACAGATAGAGAGACCAGAAGACAACAGTAAAGAATGAGCAGGACTCATCAGTGTAGCTACTTCACTTTGCACAGTGTATTAACATAGCTATGCTGTTTTGCTTTCACCCAGCCAGCTATACAATCTAAGCTCATAAAAATGAAGGAAACAAAACTGCTCTCCAAAAAGGAGAGAGAGAAGTGGGGTGGGGGAAAAAAAAAAGTCTTTGTGAACCACAGGGTTATGTTTTTATGTAACTGCTTTTGTGGCTATCAAACTACCCGAAGTTCATGGTATGTTCATCTTGTCAGTATGCATTTAAGACCACCAGCTTTGTTTTATTTCAAGCCATCTTTTGGGTTGATGTAACACAATATGACTGAATGTGTTTTGGCAGGGAATAACTAATCTAATCCATACACTACCAGATGAAAGTAATTTACTATGAGTTTGGGGAAGAGCTCAGATTTTCAGTGCAGCCCACAAAGACATTCATCCCCTTTTAATTGCCCCTTTTTATATCTAAACAGATCCAGCAATGGGAACAGAATCTGGAAAAATTTAACATGGACCTTTTCCGAATGCGATGTTACCTAGCCAGTTTGCAAGGTGGGGAGCTCCCAAACCCAAAGAGCCTTTTGGCTGCTGCCAGTCGTCCTTCAAAATTGGCACTGGGACGGCTTGGCATTTTCTCCGTCTCATCCTTCCATGCACTGGTAAGTCCAAATGCACTTTTCATGTGTGCGGTACACAAAGCCATCGTTAATATTGTACTTAGATGTGGAATTGCGCTGGGATAATACATGGCTCCACCCACATGCATTGTTCAAACAGCCCTGTTCTTTCCTTACCCTTTCTGCCCATTCCTTGACTGCAAATAAATTTTATTTTAGAGACAGACATTGAAAACATGAGGATATAACCATGATTTTTTTGGCCTCTGAGGACTCCAGAACTGGGTACTTCTGACCTATACCTAAAAAAAGAAACAAACCAAAATACTCTTCATATGTAAATGAGTTTTTGTGTGATTTCACCTCCACTGAGTTAAGAGTTTTAAGTGTGTAGGAGCTAAGTCACTTAGAGTGAAAAGAGCCCAACACAGAAATTTCCAAAAGTGGTTCGAGTCCCTCTGGGCTGAGCTGACCTTTTTTGGAGGTCTTTGGTGGCTCCATTTTTCGGAAATAGTTTGATGCCTTCCTGAAGAGGAAGTATTTTTAGAATAGGCTAGAACCAGAGAAAATCCAAAATTGTAAGTCACTTTTTAAGAACTGTGGGCTGTGTTTGCAAAGAATCATGAGGGAGATCCTTAGCTGCTGTAAGCTGTTGTCACCCTGTTGGCTTCAAGACAAGTACGACAGTAGCAGGTTCGCCTCTGCTTTTTAACCTTGGCAAGGCTGTGAGGCTGATCTTGGCAGAGAGAGGGGTGGAACCACATTTGCTGCATGACAAGTCAGTCTAAATAGTAGTCCTGGATGTCCCATCAGGGAATGTGTTTCTCTCCGCCACTGTTTTTATCTGTGTGGTTTGCGTTGTTGTTTGTTAATAAATCAGTGCCATAGCACATTTACCTCCTATGTTTGGCAATTTGGAGTCTTTCTTCCTCCAGCAATTTCATATCTGAATGATAGGTTATCATTCTTCTTCAGAGCCTTTTCATTAACTTCTTTTGTTGTACAGAGCAATATTTTCTCAGTTTTTCCCTTCTTATGACCTTCTAATTTTTCCTTGTGACAAAACAATTACACTATCATGCCATTGGAATACCAAAACAAGCATCACCTCTGAAAGTTTAAAACATTGTCCTTGCACCTTGGCATATTACATTGAGGTCAACTGAAGTAACTCTCATTTGATGCCTCAAGTCAAAATAACTGTCAATATTTTACTCTTATGAAAGTGATATAGGAAGGCCTGTCTCTGTGTTTAAATAGATCTGCTCCAGGGATGAAGCTGCTCTCAGGAAACGTACCCTATCTCTGTCACAAAGGGTCCGAAATAAGAAGGGTTTATTTTCTTCGCTGAAAGGACTGGACACATTGGCAAGAAAAGGAAAAGAAAAGCGACCTTCCATAACTCAGGTAGATATTACTTGCTGGGGGTAGCATAGAATGGCTTGTTTCTGCTGGGGATCGTCCTGTGAGGTGCTGTTGGTGCATGGGGTAGGAGACGTCTCCATCAAACCTGTGTTCACAGTTCAGTAGACACAGCAGACTTGCAATGACAGAATCACTTATGAAGTGTATATATCTAATTATGGGTTTCTTTGTGATAACTAAGATTGGTGAATGAGGGGTTTTGACCCAGTAGGTTGGTTTATTATCAGCAGCACAAGATCATCAGGTTTGAATTTGTAACAAACCTTGTCTTCTGGCGCATTGCAAACTGTTTGGAAGTAGGGTTTCTTTGTATGCACAGTCCTTAACAGAGTGTGTCCTGGCTCAGGACTGGGACTCTGAAGTACTACCGCAATTAAATACAGAGTAACACAGGTGAGACGTCACAGGAAAAAGAGGAGAGGCTCCTGCAAAGACAGCCGCCTTTGGCATGGCACCTCAAAGCAACACGTGCCTCTTGGGAGTGTGTTTTAGCCAACAGGAGAAGACTGCTGTCGTGCAGGAGGCCAGCTGTAGGCATAGACAGCTGACTAATAAAGCCGTGCCAGTTTACACCAGGTGAAGGCTTGGCACAGGTTTGGTGTGCTGGGGCAGGCTGTGCCCAGGGAGCGGGGCTGCGCTGAGGCGTGCCCCCGCAGTAGGGCTGCATTGCTGATGAAACTACAGCAGCTCACAGGGTCTTTCTCTCTTTGTGAAACTGATGGCCCACACACGCATTTCGTGTAAACCCCACACTTCAGGAGTCTATTTTCTCAAGGAAAACACAGTTAAATGTGAAACAGAAGTTTGCTGCCTTCTTCCTGAAAAAAGGTAAATAACAGCAGCGACACTTCCTTGATGGTGAGGCAGAAGGCACAGAGGTGCACCCGCACTCAGAACATTACTGTTTTCACTTGCCTTTGCCATGTCTGCTGTTTCTCCTGCAAAACAATATTTTGTGCACTGTTCATTAGGTGTCCTTGTTCCTGTTCCCTGGCCCTTGTATTTTGATTTTATTAGTCAAAAATCTATGATCAACACTTGAAAATTTACTGTTCTTGTATGTCTGGTAATCTGCTTGTGGAATATTTAAACGAGGCTGGCTGTATGCATACTGCAGTCGTCCCAGAGCCCATGCAAAAGATTTAGTGTTGCAAAATAACATATCAGGATTTTCTGGTCTAGTGGTTTGTATTTTTAATGGGTAAATATTTATCTATGCATTACACTGGGATGGAACTTCTTGGGGTGACTGTTACACATTTTAGCATATCCACTGAGTTGTGTTTACATGGTGAAACTGAATACGAATAAAACTCAAGTCTGTCTTATGAAAGAGGGAACTGAAGGAGAAATTTTCTCTGGGTTACCCTTTTCACATAATTTCCCCTGTGTTAGCCAGCAGGTAAGGCTGGTATGTGAGTCCTCTACCTCTATTTCTTTATTAATAAAGAGGCCTGAGGGAAGGGATTTTATGCCTCTTAGCTCTGTTCCCAGCAGAGCTGATACCTCACACTGTTTTAACTGGGTAATATGTCCTCCTATATGCTTTATAGCCTGTGAAGGGGATTCTGCGGAGCTCAGGGACGGGGAATCTTATTTCTGTGGCAAGGAGAGAAGGCTCCTGCTGCCCTCCCAGCACTTTTCCGAGAATGGAGGAGGGAGTCCTGGTGCAGGCGGAGGTGCCCCCAGCATGTCCTCACCCTCCTTATTGCAAACCTTGCAATCAACTGAAATGCAGTCATTTTCATCCACGAGCTGAGGTTCTTGATTGTATTTATTTTTTAAATTAAACATTCTACAATAAAATTAGGGAAATGTAAATACTGAGTGTTGCATATGAATAACACTGGGCTATGACTCATACCCATAAAAGTGAGGAATTTTTAAGGGCATGGCTTGAAAACTGACCCATGAACCTAGAAGGTGGCTGAAAAGGGAGACACATCCTTTCTCAGTCTTGTGTGTATGCACATAATTGTATATCAAAATCAGAACAGGCCTCAGGCTGCCTTTCTTGTCATTTCTTTCAGCCCACTGGGAAACTGGGTTAAGCAAAGAAATAGAGCTCACTTCGCTGCTCATTGTGCTGTGATGTCTGTGTCGAGCAATAGGTTAAAAATGTCTATCTTTCTTGGGTTTGATTAAAGTTCATTTGACTGGAGCTGGTATGTTTTAATCTGCCGTACCATAGCTTCAAAATTAGATGGTATATTCTTGAACATTGCTGTGTCAGAGAAGTTTTTAATGTTATCTTAAGTTTAATTTTCTGGTATTAATAAAAAAAAGGTTCAGAGTTTCTGTGCTTTCATAAACATTAATGAAGTGGCTCAGCCTTTTACAAATCAGTTAATAAAACTGCACTGTAGCAGATGGGGGATGTCTAGGCTCACATTATCCTCAGTTTCTTAAATGCTTATCTACTTTCTTGTGTCAAAATGATAAACCATTTTGAGAAATCATAAACAGTAAAATACTTTATGTCTGTGGGTGAGACAAGGAAGAGGAAGTTCAGAAGTGGTGCCCTTTATTTGCATTGGCAGAAACTTGATTTTGTATGAAATTTTAAGAGAAAGTTTGTTGTTGTCTCAGATTATCCAAAAGGCTTTTGCTAGTACAAAAAAAAAAAAAAATTAGAAAAGAAAAACCTAAACAAAAAAAGCTCAAATGTAAGTTTGATATTATCCCGATTTGTTGACTGCAGAAGGAGTTAAAAAAATGCTATTTATATTTTCAGTTTGGGAGGGTAATGTTATTACCTGCAAATCTCAACATCCTGTATAAACTGTATAAATCTATCCATGTGTTTATACAACCCTTATTGCCAAAATAACTGATTGTATCCATAGTCATTTATTGGATTTTTAAAAATTTCATTAATAAGCCTAACACCTTTGTGAGATACTAGTAGTGAAGCTCTTTGAAAGGGGAATGTAGGTCTCTGTTTATGCTTTGATCACTTCCAAAGCAGACACAATAGTCAGCTATTTTCATCGCTTAATAGTGTGGGGTTTGGGTCAAGTATGCCTTTAAAGCTAAGCTAAAATTTTCTGTTGATAGTGTCAAGCTAACTGGTTGGTTAGAAGAGATGAAAAATTATAGGGTAAGAAGTTTTAGAAAACAGCAACAATGATTTGAAATAGTTCATTTAAATAATGAGCTTTGTAGCTGTACCTAACAGTATCCTGAAGGGTGAAACTGTAACTTCCAGCATAGTGCATGATTTGAATGTAAATGGTTTTAATCTTATTGATAAACAGTAGATAGGAAAAAGCAAGGGCATGAATTCTTTTGCACATATTTGAATGTAAGTGCACATGGAGCCTGAGCGAGGAAACTTGCTTTTAAATATCTTTATTGAGGGAGATTTGTATTTCTTTGATACTTCTAGTCAGAATAAAATGATAAAAAGTACAAAAAGATCCCTGGGGTTTAGCATGTTGATATATATTTATTGATTCAGTTTTCGTATTTATTTTTTCAAAGAATTTACCTAACATAGGTAACAAATTACAGGTTTTATTTGTTTAACCTATTTATTTATCTGTAATATTTTTAATAGATTTTTGATTCAACTGGAGGACATGGATTTGCTGGTGTCCAGAATTCAGCCAACTCTGCAGAGGTAAGAAATGCCTCTCCTCATACTGCACCATCTTGTTTTTAAATTCCTGAATATATTTCACTAAGTCTATGATGAGGCTGGTTCACAAACCCCACAGAGGTTCATAAAATGAAGTTAGTGTTAGATGGCAGGAATATAATTCTGCTAATGAAACCACTTTAACGTAAATTTCTGAACATGCATGGTAGCCTTTTTAAAAAAAGTAATAATTAAAAAAATATCCCTAGAAGCTTCTTCACATAACTAACCGTTATAGTGTGTACACTGTCTGAGAGAGATTTGGAACCAAGCTTGTTTGAAAGCATCCTTCACAGTATGGCTAAACACAAGGTGTATTTTTCCCCTTTGCCTACTCCAACAGAACCTGTGTATTTTGAGTATAAAGGCAAGTAAGGTCTAATTAAGAGCCTGTGGAGCATACCAGCAGAGAAGTGAGAGTTAATATATAGCTGGAGATTGCCCAAGTAAAGGAAGGGGAAGCAGCATCCCCCCAACAGCGTTACCCAGTAAATAGCTGTGGTTGATGAGGAGTGCTGTTGCTTGTCCCTACCTGCTGTGAGTCACGGTCCCTCTCAGCTCCCTGAGGATAACGTCACTGTCCCCTGGTCTGGAAGCAAAGCAGGACGCTCCAAAATACACAGCGGCATACGTGTAGGATCACTGAGTGTTGTCTGTGTACTGCGATGCTGACATAGACAGAATCCTTCTCCCTCACTGGGCTTGTGCAGGCTCCAAATAAAAAATTTAGATTAAGTTTTAGGCACAGGGTTTCTGGGCTTTTTTTTCTGTATGGCATATCTGGATTTCTTTAATGGCAACATTTGCCAGGCTCAAAGGGGGTATTTGCCTTCCCATCTCTAGCCCCCATCCCTTTTCCTCCTTTGTTTCCTGAACCAGATATTCCCTCCAATGCAGATTAAAACTTGAAAGAAGACTTTAAAAGGTCATACGACAGTACTGTTCCCTTTCAGATGAGTTTGTGTACCATGTATTAGACAAAAAGTCAAAATCTGTATTTAAAAGGAAATACTGCTCTTGAAAATGATCAGCTATAATAAAGAGCTGTAATGAATCTTGTGAGGAATATTTGGACATAATTTCTCATAGGTTTTTATGTTGCTTTTTTGTATCATTATGTGCTACATAGTTTATTTTCTCATCAAGTTCATTCATTTAATAGGTAGGTAAGAAAGAAATATATAATTATGCAGAAGTTATAACACTGAGACGTCTCCCACTGACAGCAGCTAATACTATAATGCTGTGCTGCGTCCTGAAAATATCTTCACATTTTGTCTGTTCTTTGAAGAAGTATATTGAAACACCTGAATTCCCTTAATTACTTGACCACTTGCTTGTTATTTCCTGGGGTGGGTAAATATTTAAACCAAATCACTCCTCTCTTTTCACAATAAATTACAAATATGAAGGATTTCTGGGTGAAATGATTTCCTATAGAGAACACTTACAAATTCCACCAGAATGCACCATTGGGTGTGGTGTGAGACGGCATCCATTTCCCACCTCAGAGACAACAAACACACTTTGTCCCTATCCGATCCGGTTAAAACATGGAAAGGCTTGGTCCCTCCTAAAACTGAGAAGCGGCAAAATCTCCTGGGTGCACCCTCTGAAGGTTTCTCCCGAAGGGCTGTGATGACAGCCCCGCGGTTTAGCGCCAACCCCCTCGGGGTTGGGAGGCCGACGGTGCTGCCTTGTGCAGGGGGGGCTGCGGTGGGTCTCCTGTCCTCTGGCTTATCAAGAGCGTTTGCTCTTCCTGAACCCTTCTGAGGAGGCAGAAAGAGGTTTTGAAGGTGCCAGAGAGCCAGCAGAATGAAGTCCTTTCCCGTTGGTGCCATGTCAGGGAAGGGACTAGGTCTCGCTTCTTGACCCAGCTCTGGAAGAAAGCAGCCTTTTCCAAATTCAGACCGGGGCTCACAGCCCTGCTCCCCAGGTAGAGAGGACTGGCAGGGGGGCAGTGTCACTGCAGATTTTAAGCTAGGCTTTTACAAAGTTTAGCAAGATTGGGTTTTGAGACAAAAAAAATACGCAATTTAGGTACTGAAGCAGAGGTCTGGAGCACAACCTTATTTCTAGAAAAATATTATTATTGTTATTGTTGTTATAATTATTATTATCTAAAACCTTTTTTAAAATGGGAATTAAATATAGTGTGGGCATTTTTAAAATCTTGACATTTTGATGAGTCATACAACAACGCAGAAATGATTCATCATAACTCTGAAAACCGTTACTTTGGCATCATCCCGGTTTCACTGGTTGGTTTCAAACGAAAAACAGAAACAGCATCAAAACTTTTATAAAATGCTACCTGAGGAGTTCAGCAAATGACTAATACTGAAGTCTGCCAGGGAAGCTGTATTTTCCCTGAAAAGGATGCTAAAACCAGAGGCAAACAGTGGGAGGAAATTATGAAGCAACCTATTGGTGCTGCAGCAGCCCTGTGGCACAATGTGTGACAGTCTGCAAATCCTGGCGCCTATTTCTGGAAAATTGGATAGGTTGTTATAATTTTATGTGGCAATGAATGAATGAACTATTGTAGAATTAGTCACTGCAGGCATAACAGGGAAAAAAAAAAAATCCCTTTTCATGTCAGATTTTCTGAGATGGAAAATATGGGTGAAGCAACAGTACCTTGACTGCAGTTAAGGAACATAGTCATGTTTAATAACAGAGGCGAGTTTATCTCAAGGCGTATGCTTGATCACCAGCATACGTGGCAAGGAAAGGGAAGTATCTCACATTGGCTGCAGAACTTTCTGTCCTGTCTTAAAAGCTTCAGGAAAAAAAGTGGCCTTAAACTCATTTCTCATCACCTTAATCCTCTATGTTTTGGGGTTTGTTTTTTCATCTCTGGCAACAGTGAGATTTATTTCAGTTGCACAAATTTGAAGAATTACTGTTGCAGTGCAGTAAACCACTGTGGTAGTTACAAACCTCTGAGCTGCTGGGAGCATGTCACTGGCCGAGGCAACATAGCTTCGGTTTTCCATGGAGGAAGCAGCCGGAGAATTCGCTCTGATTCATTCCTGCTAAATTCTTGCAGCCTGTCTGCTTTGCCCTTTCTCCTTTTGGTTATTTACACCATGGAAGGAGGTCAGAATTTATTCCCAGGCACTTGATTTAGTGCTGAGAGGACCATGCTTTTCTGGGTATTATCTTCTTCAACAGCACCAGTGTTATGAACAGTCTGGAACCACAGCCACCAAGGTGAAACTTCACCTGGTGTAGATTTCCTCACCCCATTAATAGGATTCATGTTATGTATAGCAGTTGCTGGAATTTAGTAAGAGATCCATGGACCTGTGTTAATTGAAATTTTATTTTCAGCTAGGCAAAAGGGACAGTTGAGCAAGAGATACAAGATTGTGAATGGCATTAGTTTATTAACATTATTCCACCAAAACCAGCATTACTCTGGCATCACATTATTACTGTGCCATACTCTGGGTCAGCTGCAACCTGAATTTCTGCATTGTTTGGTAATTATCTGGATAGGATTGCTTATTACATAATTTTCACAGCCATGGTTGTTATTTGGAAGAACAAAATAATACTGGTCTCTCTGTTGCCACTAGTAGATCATTGTCAATAACTTTTCTGCCTTCATCAGGGGAAGCAGTCCCTGGGCAGTGATTTTACTGCAGCTTTTAATTGCAGTGCACCCCTGGGCTTGCACCCCTGCAGAGCCAGGAGGAAGAATTGCATAATTATGTAGGCAACCAAACTCCCTGACACAAACAAACAAAAATACAAAGAAGAAGCATTAGGGAGGTAGGCACTCCAGCTCAGGATATCTTAAGATATGTCTTGGGTGGCCATTCTGCCACTTTACGAGGTTATTATCCCTTTCTGTAGTCTGTAAGGAGAATTGAGGGACCCTATCTGTGTAAACTTAAATGCCTTGATGTGGGTATTTCAGTGACGTGCTGAATAGACAGACCCAAATACATAGGTGAAACTCCAAATTCTGAACAGCTCTCTGTGTTTTTCTTCTCCTTGTGTGTATTCCTTTTGAAACATGTAGCCTGAAGTGCAGTACAGGAGAAAGCGTGAAACTGAAGGGTGAGAAAGCACAGGGAATTTATTCAGGGTGGATGTTGTTATTTGGTCAAATAGAATGGCTTTGAAATGAGGATGAATGTGAAGCAAAATGGCAACAGGCAAATATGCTGTGCTACCTGTGAAACGATATGTTCTCAAACTGTAAATAGAATAGAAACACTTTATTCCTGCCTCAGTCCTTTACTATGTTATGGCAGGCCTTGCTCCACAGTGCTCTCTGCTGGAAGTTTGCTATATTATAATTTTCTGTTAAAATTACAGTAATTCCGTTTTTTTTTTTTTTTTTTTTTTTTTTTTTTTTTCATTTTTTAATTAGGTAAAATTGTAGAGGTCAGTTCTTCGTAAGATTTTATTCCCACTGCAATATAATATCAGGTAGCTACATATTTTCACTTTGAGTTAAATCAACAAGTAATATGAGATAAAAGCATAAAAGCCCGTAATGGGATCTCAGAGGAAGTGCAATCCATTGTCAAGACACTCAAGTCTTTGATGGTGAATGAGAGCAGATAACTGAACCTTGTCGCTGTCTTGCCATGGGGAAATACATGGTACTATGTCTAAATACATATCCACTGCAAACTGCTGATGTAATTGTTGTTTTGGGGTGTTTTGCATCATCCACATATGTTGTATGTTTCTCCCTTGTTTCCAGCAGCAAGTTGATGACTTTCTGAATGTCTACTGCTCAGTGCCAGAGACCATCCAGAAGGAGAGTGCTTGGGAAACACAGACGTATGTTCACTTCTGTGATGGCCAAGGAGTGGCACTGACCCTCAAGCCAGAGCACAGGGTGGAAGATGTTTTGTCTTTGGCATGCAAGGTACTAATTTTTTGTGTACGATTGCACCTTGTTAATAGCTGTGGACCTGAGAAGGAATGTAATATATTAGAGGATACCTAAAAAGAGAGCGTAATACCAGCATCTCCCTGTATCTATTAAGGTACATTGCTCCGTTTCCTTTAGTTGTGTTATTTGTGTATTGTAGCCAAGGTAGCCCGGTTGTGGAAAGGCTTTCAAGAAGCATTGCTTGAGACAGCTCCCAGTGAATACTTCAAGAGTGGTGATGATTTGCTGGGTAGTTAGCCCCTGAGAAATCTCAGCACGTGTCCACTCTGCGTTGTCACTGCAGTGAATCCAGTTCTTCTGTATAAAATTAATCACAGAGAATAATGAGGAGTGGTTGAGTTAATGTCAGGAGATTAAGATATTTAAGACTGCTGTCACAAAGGCTATCATATGTGTTTGCTTCTTAAAGGACTAGTTTAAGCTTTTAATTAAATACAGCTCTACTTGTGAATTTCAAAGAGTGTGTTCCCTTCTGAAAGTTAGTGCCAGCAATTTGAGAGGGATTGCTATAAATCTTGGGACAGAAAACTGAGTCACAGGTTGAAGGTGGAGTAGAAATACCCATTTTAACTCCAGACAAAAGACCAGCACCTCTAGAACATCTCAATGTACCTAGCACCTTTGTCTCCACATGTGTCAGTGCTTGAATTTAGCTCTAACTTAATGATTCAAGTCACTGAAATTAAGCAAACAAGCTTTTTGGAAAATCTAACTTTTTACTCCCAAGTTCTTCTTTCTGACAGCTGGTAAATATAGTTTATTTACTTCACAAGTAAATGAGAAAACCATGAAATAAAGGAGTCCTGCTCTGTACAAAACAGCTGTAGCTTTTGGCATAGGCTAGTGTGAACTTCCAAGTGAGCTCATTCAACTGGCTTGAAGCTAATGAATTTTGAGGCTTCTAATGGAGTAAAGGACACAATTTAATGTCTCTTTGCACCTGGTAATGTTGTAAAACAACAACAAAAAATTATTAATTTATACAGGTTTTTAAAAATCCAGGGTGAACTATGATTTTTAAATCAAAATAAGCACACTGAGTTAGCTGAGTCACATGTATCTCCATGGCATCACTGAGAAGAAATTATCTATCTGTTGCTTTTGCTGATGGAGACTGAATCCTGGAGAAACAGTTTAATGCCTGGCTTTGCTTTTTAAAAATTCACTGTTCCTCGTCAGGCTAAAAGGATCGTCTGAGACGTTATTTGACCACCAGATGGCACGATAGAGCTGAAACATTTGGAAGTGGTCACAGTGACATATAAGACCCCTGAAAGAGGAAATAAAATTTATAAACGTTACATTAAGTTGAAAAGATAATTCCTTACCTCTCTTACTCTATCATTCAAAAATATTTGTAATTGTAAAACTGACTTTTAATTTTCATCGTCTGTATCGCATGAAAATTTAATTTTAAATTATTTTATTTTATTCTTAATTTTTTTTCTGTTTTATTTTCTTCTTTCTACTATGTGTGTAAAGCTTTTCATAAGCATTCTCTAATGCTGAATACTTTCTGCTCATCTAGCCTGGTTCTTTTTCTTCTTACATTTTCATTCTGCTCTGGTGAGTGTAAGGAATCTTTCTTCTTAACAGAACATGTTTGAATGTTATGTGAATAAGGATAAAGTTTAAAGGGTTGGGTTTTTTTCCCCTTCATTCATGCTTTATGCGTTTTATACTTTTCTAATTTCTGTTTTCCATCTGAGGCTTTTGGATAACATGTATAGAAAAAAATGTGCTGTTGAATACAATTGTTCAGGATGCAGAACACATGCAGCTCATAAACTGTTACACATAATAAAATGTTAAGGTAATTACTAGTTACTCAGCAGATTTAGATTTTGTAAGCTGCAGAGATGCATTAAAGAGGTTAAATAACGCTCAGGGATGCAGTCATTCCTCCTTTTTTAGAAACGTTGCTTCCTTCTGTTTTAGAAAAGTTGCCCTATTAATATGCTAAAATGAAATGTTTTGTGCAGTGGTCTCACCAGCATCCTGATTTTTAGAGAGACTCCCATCAGTGGCTTGACACTCTCAGGCTAATATCCTTTGGGAATATTCCTATTTCCCTTTGACTTCCTGTTGAGACAGGATTTTTGCTTTGACCTCACGTGGTGAAACTCTGATCACAGGTGAAACTCAGCAATAAAAATAAAATGCAGTAAAGGCAAACCCTTAGGGATCCTGCTTCCTATCCCATCCCCTCTCCTAACAGCCCATACATGCATACACATTTTCTACATCAGAAGATAAAGTTGCTGAGCAGAACTGAGTCATTAAAAGTAGTCACAGAAAAAGATGGTTGTGAGTGTAAGTTCAAAAGAACAGAAAATGGTTGTGATATCTTTGGAAACATATAACAGTGCTCAGTTAATCTAATAGCCAAGACATACTGCTTATGAAAGGACTTGAAGCCTTATCTTCTAAGCAATTCAGCTAGTTTTGTTTATACCACAAAAATAGTTAGAAAATGACTTGTTGAGGATTGCTTTTGCATGATTTCTAAAAAGTTTTTTGTGCGTGTGTCACTGTTTTGTCTTTTGTATGTCTGGGATTCTGGAACTAAATAAAAACTCCAAACCCTATTCTCTTTATTCCTTAGATGAAACAGCTGGAACCAAGACACTATGGCCTACAACTCAGAAGACTCATTGATGAAAATACTGAGTATTGTGCTCCTGAACCATACGAATACATAGTAGACCAGGAAAGTGTGACTCCATTTAGATAAAGCTCCATGATGTCTGTAGCTACAGTTGCATTATCACCTATGAATATGTGTGATTTAGATCTAAAATAGTTTAAAAGCAGTTCTTGGATTGCATTCTGCCATCCTCATTTGCACAGTCCATGCCTATGCAGACATTTGGGTGGCTAGGCCCTGCAAACACTCTCTTCAAGAACCATTTGAAGATTTAAGTGGGGCTTCTGGTACAAAAGCCAAGTGTCAGTCTCTACTCCAGGCAGCTGGGTTTTCTATCTTTAGCTTATTCTGCATTTAGTCCCACTGATACTGGTGACGTCTACACAGTAACACATTTCTCAGTGTAAAGACAGCAAGTTTTGGCTCTTTATTGATGCAAAGAATATTGTGCTCACTTCTCATGCTGTACCTTTGGATATTTTGATGCTTCCAATTTCATAATTTGATGACTTCTCTTATTGCTTTATTCCAACAGGTATATGATGAAATAGAAATTTGTCCACTAAACGTTTATCATGTTCATCTGACAAAGACTGAAAACATAAGTGATTTTGGTAAGCTCTCAGGAATTTTTCTTTTATTCTTCTCATTGCTTACTTTCCTTCTTCAGGAGAATTTTCTGTCTCTGAGAGCAGATAGAGCCATCCTTGATGGCTCAAAGTCTGAGTCTGCAGAGGACTCGAGACAGTACAACAAAGACCCATACTGGTTGGTTTACACTGGCAAGCTCATTTTGTATGTTTGGGAAGGGTCCACTTTATAATTCTGCTGCGCTGGCCAAATAAGTCATGCATGGAATTGTCAGAAGACAAATGTCCTTTTCCAGGATCGATACAATCTGTCTCAGTCAGACCATGGTCAAGGTCTGCTCTTTTGTTTTGTGCTAGTGGGACCCTCTGTTGGTACAGTATCAACAGTGTCCTTTGGTACAAATTCTGACAGGCTTGTTATCCTTGGGAGGCGGTTATGCCTAGGAATAATTATATAGCTTGCAAAGATACCTTTGTAATGCAGCTCTGTGCTGTTCTTTAGCTGCAAGTCTGCTGGTATAAATTGTTCCTTTTTGGGCTGTCTCACTCACTGATCTATATGGATTTGCTGCTTTAAACTTTGGGTTTCCAGTTTTTGGATCTGTTTAATACACCTCTATGTCTGATGGACACACTGCAGAACTCTTACCGTAATGATGAGCTGTCTTATTGAAATGTCGTATGAGGCTGAGGTAGAAAATACTTTTTTGAAATGTAATTTGTTTTTCTTACAGCACAGCATGACATTTACTGGAAGTTGAAAAGTTCTATTAACTTTAATAAGCCTTACAATGACTGAGAGACAATGTGATCATTTGTCTGTGCTCTATGGGTGTGTTCTCACAAGAAGTATCCTCCCTCTGATTGTGTAGAGTCTACTAAATGCACAAATTAAAAGGGTAATGTTTCCAATAAATTTTATTTGACTTAAACCTCTTTTACTTCAGGCTTTGCTGTCACAGCACAAGTTGATGAAAATCAGCATCTCACCCGTATATTTGTAAGTGATGTTCTCCCTGATGGACTGGCATACAAGGAAGGTATTGTATCATATTTATATTTAATACTGTACTTCATTATCTTTTTAAAGTCCTAAAACATGAAGGAGCTTTAATATTGCTGTCTGATATGTCTCTTGGCTTCTACTATTCATAGTTTTCTTTCCTGAAGACCATGGAAAGTATGTGATATTAGGAAAGATAATATACATGGAGTGACTGAATTATCCTTTGAATGTAGAGGGTCAAGTTTTTTGTTCGCCTTTGAAGACAAAGTCTGTGTTCAGCCATCCAACCAAGTGCTTTTGCACAGAGGAATAGGTTGGAGAAAGAATTCATCTCACACTGGAGAACCTCATGGTCTTGGTCAGTCTCCAAGACCCATCAGTTGTACTTTTGTGGGCAGTGAAAAGTAGGCTCCCTCCTCAAAATAGTTTTCTGCATACATTTCTATGAGTGCATTCTCTACTGCGCTGCTCAGAAACCATGCTTCTCTTCATCAGCACAGCAGGATCACGTGCATTCTGCTCTCTGAACAGCAGAAAAGCAAACTCAGAAAAATGGAGATAGTTTCATTTGCTACCTTAGAACAGTGACCATTTGACTCTTGCTGACCTTGAAAGGCAGCAGTTGCCGCTGTTTAGATTTATAAAAAAGCTGATAAAGACTCCATCCGCTGTTGTTTCAGTTTTGCATGAATGATTTGATCTGCGTGACTAGTGCCCTGTTCTTCCCAGATAATGAAATATGTGTTATGATGCTGTATACTGATGGTATCTGAGTCATGAGAGTCTGATCTTTTTGATAGTTGTGCTGCCCTTCCACCCACCCAATTCTGTAGTATCTTTAGAAAGAAACAACTCGATTGCTGTAGTATGTGTAACACCTACCAAAGTAAACATGAGGTCGATCTGCATAATTATAGCACAAATAAAGCTCCCATTGATTCTAATGGGCTTGTGGTACGGTTAGGCTATTTGAATTAAAACCACAGAAATAAAAGGTGTATTAGCAAAAGGTTTGGTTTGTGACCCTTTATGTTTTATATTTCCCCCCCTTTTTTTTTCTTCTTCTTTCCTTTCCCATGTTCCCAGGGCTCAGGGTAGGTAATGAAATCCTGAACATAAATGGAGAGACTGTGTCCAATCTTGACCTCAGGCAGATGGAGGAGTTGTTTTCAGAGAGAAGTGTAATGCTCACTCTGAGAATGAGCCATTATGGCACCCAGCAACCCTTATGTGCATCCTGGTCAGATGGTGACGTACCCAGGGAACCAAAGAATTTGTTGCCCCCTCCAAACCAGTCACAGCTCCTGGAAGAGTTTCTAGATAACTTCAAAAAGAACACAGCAAATGGTAAGACGTTGGCAGTCCTCTTTCACCTCCCTTCCAATATCATGCTTTTTAAAACTCAGTTATGTTTAAAATTCTGTGCTTGCCTGAGTGTGAAACCCAAGTACAAATTGTTTAAGTTCCATTTATGCTCCATATCTGTCTGTTATTTTATCACTTTTTAGAAAGTAGAAATGAAACAGAATATGATAATTTCTGCACGGAAATTACACTGTTTTAATCTGTTTGGCTGCACCATCCAGTATTACCAAGTGCTCTCTTAACTCTTCTGTGTCATCTCGGGTACCTCCAATACATCCATTTCCCAGGCATAGATGATTGGAATGAAGTGATGGTTTTCAGAGGCAGAAGTATTGTTTTGTGTTTACCATGCTTTACATATGGTAAAGTACTATGTACATTAAGGATACCTTAAATGCAATAATCATCATCAACTCAGAAAGGAGTCATTTAGCTCTGCTCCCACCCATCCCATTGGATACAGCTGCTGTGTAGAATAAAGCATATGAAAACAGCTTTCGTAGGGTTTCCTTAGCTACTACCTGCTCATACTTCTTAATCTGTGTAATACCACTGTATTAAGCATCAAATGGAGGACGTACCCTAACAGCGATGTGTGAGGGTGAGATCCTGATGGGTTTCCATATGAGGAGCACCAGGCAGGGAAGGTGCCAAAAGCCTGCATGGTAAGGACTGCTCCTAGATTACACCATGGCCCCCCAGCCCCAAGGAAGGTGCTGATGCTTACTGCTAGGTTGCCTTTTCAGCTGGAAATAGGAGGTGGCACGTGGAGGGGTACTGCCATGTTGTGTGGAGGAGAGACGTGGTCACTCTTCCCTTCTTCTAACTGGTCCTACTTTACATGAGAAAGACATCTTGTGATACCAGAATACTTGTAAAGGCCTGTCTGAAATAGAAAGTACGTGGGGATTTGCTCCCCTTCCTTCCCACGCCTTGACTATTTTTCAAACAGGATGGAAGCAAATATAAGTCTAGTTTCTTGAGTGTAAAAGGTGCAGTTTCTTTTCTGCGCCTCTGGGGGATGCTAGTAAAATTCTGCAGGAAAGCTAGTGGGGGTGCACTGCTGTGCAAGGAGAGCAGCAAGAGTACAAAAAGGGATCGCTGATTTTTATATATAATTATGATGGCAAGTGTTTTCTGATTGGAATTTTTTTCATAATTAAAAATGGGAGAAGAAAAAGAATCGCATAGGAGAAGTTGCTAGAGTGGATTTAATTATAAAGCAATTTTATTAGGTCATCTTTTGAAATTAAAAGAAATCTGAATACAAGATTTGTGATACAGTAAGTAACATCTCTCTCAGGGGCCTTACTTCAATTTAAAATGCCATTAAATTGACTAGTGGCACATAAAAGTTAGTGCCATAAAACAAAAATTATGATAGAGCTAATTAATTACATAATTATACCAGGGCTATCATTCAGCCTGTTGGCTTGATATCATAGGCCAGCATTACCTGGAGTATTCAGTATAATAAATGTATGTGTCCATTCACTAGATTCCTCATTCCTCTGGGATAAATTTGCAACCTGTGCAAATATTCCATTATAATAGGAAATTACTGGAGTATGTATTATACTCTAAGCACTAGTGGATAAAGGGACATAGTATATTTACTTTTCTGCTTAAAAGCAGCTATGGAAGATTTATTTTATTCTGAAAGGGAACAAATAGTTCTAAATTAAGCTTCATGAGAAAGACTTTCATGTTTATTGAATTCAGTGCTTAGTGTGTGATCACCTGATCAAATTCAAATGGAAGCAGAAGAAAGTGGCATTACTTTGAATTAATAGATAATCAAAGGATTTAACTGTTCTATGTCCTGTTCCCCACTCAGGAATTGAGTAAGATTTCAGATAAGAATAGGGAGTATTTAATGATCTGAGCAGGGATTTGGAGGCCAGAGGCTCTTACATTCACATCTGGTGTTTAATACTGTTTTGTCTCTTTTGATTGAGTAAAGTGAGTTTTCAAAAATAAGTTCTGACATTTTCATGTCCATGTTAAGCCTGATCTTCCAAGGCAGCGCCTCTGAAAGTCAGTTAGTACCAGAGGAGGGGGACTTCTTTCAGAAATCAAGTACAATTTGGTTGAAGATACATACCTGGAGTTAAAAACCGTAATGTTTTTAAAAATCAAGTAACTCTATTTATCTTTCTAGAGTACTATGAGGATTAATGAGCTAAAATTAACAGTGCTTGGAAAATGAAAATTTTCAGCACTGAGTCACACGGTAATACCCTGCCTGGTGTTTGATGACAACCACCAGGAGAAAGCAAAACAGAATTTACTTTAAATCACTGGCTTCGTGTAACTTGGGTGGTAATAGTTGGTCCACATCTGATGAATGCCTTTTCCTACATATTCTGCCATGTTGAGGATACCCAATTATACCTTGTGGCAAACTTTGGCAGCCTATACTGTACAGAAGGGAAGTGATTGACTTTCTCCAAAGCCACTAACTCTGCCACTCCTAAAAAATCATTCCCAGGGAATTTTCTGTGAGAGTGATTCATTTTCTCCAAGAGGTTGCTATACCCTTGTAGCTGTATTTTGGACCTACTGTGGTCATATCATTTGATCTCCCACGTGGCAACGCTATGTGCTAACTGCTTAGCTGCTTGGCTAGTAATAAGCTTATCCTGGAAAAGAAATGAGATGAAATACTTTTAAAAAATGCACTCATAAATGTGGAAAACCAAATAAAAGAGCAACTAAATTTTCTTCAAGCTCCAGTGCTGAGGAAATTAAACAAATATTTGTGTAGAATTAAAATATGAGGGAATTGGGCTGGAATTCTTACAACTGTGGAGGAAAAAAATGCCTCATTTTAAGATGGCATAGATATTTGAGGAATAAACAACAGAGAAGGCATGAGAATTGAAAACTGTATATTTAGGGCAACCCTGTGTGGGTTAATGGTGTATCTATAGAGTGCTGAAGCAGGAGGTAGAAGTATTAGTAGGTGTGAAAACTCGTTGCAGTATGTGAGTTGCTGTCAGAGTTGGGCAATTCTTTTTTTTCCCCAGCAAGTGGGTTTTTGCCAAAGAAGCTGTCATTTCTGGTTAGCTGACGCTGTTGAAATCAACACTAATTTGTAAATAGGTCTTTGTGATCAAAAGGAAGGAAAAAAAAAAAAAAAAAGAAAAGAAAGAAGTGGGGGATTGCAGTTTTGGATATGCTTTAAGTTTCCACGAAGAAACACTTTCATCTCAGAGCTAGACAATTAAATGGAAAGAAACCATTAAAAAAAAAAAAAAAAAAAAAGAAATAAAGATGGACATACTGTTCCTTTGTTCCCCATTATACTCCTCATCTTTGGGGTAGGACACTTACCTAATGTGCTGGGTCTGGGTTTCTGTCTGGCCCATCTTTCTGGAGGTATGGCCCCAGGAGGAGTGAAGAAGCCTTGGGTGCTGCTGACAAGGGGGAGGCTTGCTCCTCCTCCTCCTCCTCCCCCTCCTCTTCCCCTGTGCTGCCTTAGCCCTCCCTTCCAGTCCCACAGCCTTCCTCCTGCCCCTGTGCTGGCCGCGGCACTTGCTGGAGCCCTTGATGAAGCTAATTAAGGAGAAGACTTCCATTCCTGCCCTGCCCCTGCAAACACAGTGAGTTGAACCGCTGGGTGCAGAGGTCTGACGAGGGCTGGAGCCAGGTAAGCAGGAGGAGGAAGAGGAGGAGCGGTGAGCAGGCAGGTGCTGGGGGAGAGCTGCTTGCAAGGAGAGTTGCTGTCAGAGGCGGCAAGCTCTCTTTCAGCTGACCTTCCCACAGAGCACCTCTCTAGCCATTTTGGAGCATGGGTTTTGCCCGCCGCTTTCCCACCTCTCATGCTGATCCCCGAGCAGCAGCATAGTCTGGGACGTGCCGGTTTGAGTCGCTCCTGATGAAGTTGTTTCACGTTGTATAAAGCATGGCTGGAGTCAGAGAGTCAGGCATCATGTTGTTTGGCAAGTAGCTGGGATGTGTGCTGGCGAGGAGCAATGACATTTCAGCTCCTGATCTGCTAAACACTGAGATATTTTCAGAAAATGTAACTGCCTCAGGAGGGGGATCAGTGGTTTGAACCCTCATGTGGGAAGTGGCTCTTCTATTTACCAAGACATGAGCCACTTCTGATTTTAATCTCAGTAAGCATGCACAGAAGCAAAGCACATCAATTGGCCACAAGCTTAATTTTGCTATGACTAAATTCTTCTTAAAAAAGAAGGTTGTAATAATAATTGGTTTGGATTCAGTTGGAAGGTACTTTCCATTTCAAGTACGCTTCTCTAGGTGGTTTAGATGCTTCTGTAAAGTGTAATTGCAACTCACAGCTTCTCCAGAAAGCATTGCTCCATTTAGCTTTGTCAGATATCGCTGAGTTGAGGGAGGAAAAGGGAGACAGAGGCTGGCTCTGCAGCCGGCTGGCTGTATGCATGTCGCTGCGCATGCCTCTCCAGGTAGTGCTCCCTGCACCCTCTTCCAGCCCCAACCCAGCCTGAATATCAGAAGGACCTGTGCGTCCCTCTTAAGAAAAGAGATAAACTCAGAGGGACGTGAAACTAAGGTGGTCTGTAGTCTCTAGCAGCTGGGGGCTGGGCCTGGAGCACTGGCTCAGACCACTCTGCTTGTTGCTGTTTGCCCATAGTTTTTAAGCATTTCATGTCTTTTAACGTAACGTCCAAAGCATTTTGTAAACAAAAGTGAAACTAAAGCTTAACTGAAAAACATTTCTAAAATAACTTCTACCTTTAGTTCTTTCCAAATCATGTCCTGTTTGTTTGCTTAGTTGGTGTTTCAACATTTAAATTCTCTTCGTCGTGCTGTAGGGCGTGGCCTTCGTTGCCCTGCATGTGTGAAGAATCAAAGAAATTTATTTTTATCCTTTCACAGAAAACCCTTTTTTGCTCAGAAGAGGTGAATATTGCTTCATAGCTTCCCGAGTCCAGAGGACACCCATAGTCCTGTTAGATGTAGGCCCTGGTCTGTGTTAGTTGTGCAGGTCT